AGGATATCAAGTTTATATGTCAAACAGAATGTGATATCAAATAATATTTCATTTCCTATTAGTGCTTTGCAAATCGTGTCCGCCTTTCTGTCAATCAATGTTGTCTCTTTCTGAACTTTTACGAACAAATTCCGAATCCAAACCACCCATGTTTGTTTCCTACTTAAAACCCAACGTCTAAAACTTTTACGAAGGACTTTCCAAATCCTGGACAACAAAGTTGAGAAGGTGATCTTAGTTGTCATTGTAAGAAAACAAAGCTTCAATTCTTGCCTCTTTAGGGTCACAAATGAAAATGTAAATGTTGTGCCAAATATACACGTACCATCTATATAAAAGTGGAAATCTGTGGAGTTAATAGGCACCTTACTTTTTGAAAGAGGCGTATAAATCATTCATCGTCACCAAGTTTTTCGAATTAAACGAGTTTACGTGATGGATTTTCTGTCATTTTATATTCAGTGGTGAGAAACTATTAGATTTTGATAAGCTTCCGCAGGTGAAAGAGTATGTGTTAAAATCTTGCTCACAGTGTAATACATAAAATTGACAATTTCGTTCTCCCTAATAAATAAGAGCTACATATCAATGAGATTGTTTGTTTTCCATGACATTTGTATAGCTGAGAAGGGTTGTCTTATTGCTTTCATGTATAAATAAACTGAAATTATTGAGTAGGCTTTACAAAGGAAAGATTTTGTGTGGCACTAAATTTAAAAACCTGATGTAATATGTATGGAATTAGTTCTTATTCAGGGAATAAATTATTCGGCATTCACCCAAGATAAAATTATCTTTTTTCTCTTTATTGTCAATACTTAGTATTTAAAAAAAAATCTCTGTGCCTTGGGATAAGGTTTTTTACAAAAATTTTGATACTGGACCATTTGTACATGACAAATATTTGTCATTTGCAAATTTTGCATAAGAAATACCAATTTTTTTTGTATAGTAGTATGAAAACGGATTATAGAATATAACAGAGGTCCATTCACAGCAATGTATATGTGTACCAGAATCATCCAACAGTAATATTTGCACATAGAAGTTTGATTCTAAATGCACCCATCTTCACATTTTGATAACAAGGGAAGAACAACAATCATATACAAATAAGGTTGATTTTAACCCAAATCAGTCCAAGGATGAAAGTAGTTTCAAAACTTAAATGCACAACCACAGGATATAAACTGCTTCTTCCGAAATATGATTGGGCTAATTTGAAGTTGTAAAACGACTTAAAGGAACTAGATTTAAAAAAACAACAAAATATTTGACTTCTGCAAAAAAAATGTCAGAGGAATTCAGAGAAACAGGTTTTGTAGGGGGAAAAGACATCTTTTTTACCACAAACAGTTCTGGGGGGTAAAAAAGGATATTTTTGCATATGTAGAGAACACCCCTAATCACATTCCAAAAGATGATTTTGTTACTACAAACAATGTCAGAGGACTTCACGAAAGCAGATTTTTGTAGGAGAACGTTTTTAAAACCAATACATCCCTGGAAGGAGAAAATGGAAATTCCAAAACCTTACTGCAAATGTAGAGAGCACTCCCAATGACATTTTGAATGTGATTGTACTATTTTGAAACATGTAAGAGGAGGTTAGGGTACCAGTTTTTTAAAACCCCAATTGGCCCAAAAGGGGATGGGGGGGGGGTCAAAATCGTTTCGCACATGTTCGAAGCACCACCAATCATACTCAAAAAGTTGATTTGGCTACTCTGAAAATGTCAGAGTAGTTTGAGTAAGAAGAAAATACCGACACTTTACAGTTATATATACGGATATAGACTTTTTGCAGAAAAAATAGTGTAGATGTATGTATTCATTTATTTTAATTTATATACAGATTTAGAAACCATATGAAAAAATGCATTTGTTTTGCTTTTTTTTTCAAAATATTTTTATCTTTTTTTGCGACCCTTGCTTTAAATCGTGGGACCAACCTGTAAATTTAGGCAATTATTCTGTCTCTAACATACTGGGAAAAATAAATACCTGTAAGCGCAGTAAGAATTAAATAATATTCTGTACTTTTTTTGACATAGTTAGAACCTGTCTTAAATAGAGATGAGAGTGTTAAAGTGCGATTCCAAATAAATGGAATTTAAGTGCATTAATTTGATTCAGGCAGAGGTGACGAACCACAAATATACATCCAATTAAATACCCATGTCCCTGAAACGCAACAAACGCGAGTCATCAAAAAGTACACGTATTTAAGTTAAATATATTTTTTTAATCGAATTTTTAATTTACACGCAAAACTGATTTTTTAAATACCTCTGCACTTCACAAACATTCTCACAAACAAAGATAACTAGCCTAACGGGTTCCAGTAAATGTTCTACCAGGCCTGTTTCTTTAAATTCCTTACTAGAATAATTACACCAACGAAGGAGAAACGTCAGAATATCTGTACAAAATGTATTCGATAAGTGATGTTAATCAGACGTGGAAACTTGAAAAATTCCACGGAAATTTAAGAAAATTTGAAATAAAATTTTACCAAAATCAATAACATCAAAACGTATGAGTTGTCGACACTATAAGTTACCATTCCTACCATAAATACCCTAAATTAAAAGTCCAGAGTTTATGACTTCAATGACAGCTTTTTTTAAATGTAAAAATGAAATGCGTTAATTTTCTTATCGTGCCATTGGTCATTTGTAAAATCATTTTGTAAAAAAAAAACAATTTTATTGTACACACAGAACTCCAAAGTTGATATTTAAAAATGTTTGAGTTTTAGTCGACAAAATCTATGTAGTTTTAGAAGGCTAAGTCTTCCAACAATTTCAACAAAGCTACTTTAGTATTCATATAAAGCAGAATTAATTCAAAACCTTAAGTAATACATAAGAAGTAAAACTTGTGATTTTCAACTTCTCATTATTTTTGTATTCATATGAAGCAGAATTTATGCAAAATCTTATGCGTGAAAAGAAGAAAACACTTGCTGTGGCCTTCAACTCAACCTTCAGATATATCGACGACATATTGTCAATTAACAATGGTAATTTCCATTCCTACGTCGATACGATATATCCAGGAGAGCTTGAGATAAAAGATACCACAGACTCTGACACATCTTTTTCATACTTGGATATTTTACTTGTAAGACGTTAATGGTAACCTAACAACCAAGTTATATGATAAACGTGACGACTTTAACTTTTCTATCGTCAACTTCCCTTACTTATGCAGCAATATATACCTTCATCACCTGCATACGGAGTGTATATATCTCAGTTGATTCGATACGCAAGAGCATGCTCTACGTACGAACAATTTCTAGAACGAGGTAAGTTATTGACAAGCAAGCTGATAAAACAATAATATCAGCAGTCTCATTTAAAGTCATCATTTCGTAAGTTCTATGGTCGATACAATGACCTTGTCAGCAAATAAAACTTATCATTGAGTCAAATGCTGACTGACGTTTTTCATACCAATTGTTAGTCCATTCTTTATACACTGAATTGACGACGGATTTTTCCGTTATTTCACGATCATGACAACGAGCACACGGCGGGTGTCACCGGTCAGCAGGGGATGCTCACTCCTCCATGGCACCTGATCCCACCTCTGATGTTTCGGAGGTCCGTGTTTGCTCTGCTCCTATTTTGTATTGTTTTATGGACTTCGATATTGAATACTGTTCGTTATCTCCATGTCCTTCTTGGATATATGGACGAAGTATTATCCGTAAACAATAGTTACTCTCATTTGTGGACGCAATATGTCACATTGAGCTTGAAGTGAAACAGACAACAGAGTCTGACACATCTCTTTCACACATACATTTTGATACATTACTAGAAAGAGACGTTAATAGACACATAACAAAACTTCAAAATAAATGTAATGACTATTTTTTTAGCATCCACTTCCCTTGTTTCTGCCTTTCACCTGCAAAGGGTTTTTTTCTCTCATTTGATTAGATACAGAAGATAATGCTCTAAATAAGAACTACTTCTAAAACGAGGCAAGCTATTGACAAGTTGGTGAAACAAGGATATTAAAATCTCGTTTAAAGTCATCGTTTTACAGATTTTATATATGGTCGATACAATATCTTGGTCAACAATATTATTCGTCATTAAGTCAAATGTCATATTGTTTTTAAGCCATTATTTTTACAATGAATTGTCTCAGGATTATTCCGTTTTCTCCGATCATGAAAATTAAGGAGCGCACATCGGATATGAACTGTCGACAGTTGGATGGCACCTGTTCCAACCTCTGATGTTCTAAAGGTTTGGGTTCGCTCTGTGTTCCCATTTCTATTGTTAAAATTAGATAAAAAGATAAATAAATGATTGCGATTTTGATTTTACAAAGACATCCATAATTTTGATTATCTCTGTTCAGATGCACACAAAAAGAAATGCCCCATAGTTGTTCTGCAATTAAAAATGAACAGTATGAGTGCCCTTACTTCTAACTATCTGTGTTATTCTCCTTATTTTCTATACGCATAAATAAATATAAATTGCTTAAATGGGGTCGACTTCAATATTCCTTGATTGTCTAATTTAAAGTTGCTAAGTCACATGGATTCTCCAGGTCATACAGAACAATGTGGACAATACTTTGATATCTTTGTAACACATTCAAGTAAAGTCATTCCCTTTCCAACGAAGTTTTTTACTTGTAACTCTATGTAACTTACATGAAAGTGTTAAACTGAAATTGCTGCGATGCTGCTAAGTCTACACTGTACATGTTTCGTTTGCTTTAATGTGTAATTTTCGGGTCCTTTGCGTATTTTCTCACTTGCAATTTCAATAAAAACCTTTTAGTCTACGTTGAAATACGATCAATTTTGGATCATAAACAAGGACTTTGATAAATTGGAAAAGGCAATGACTTCAAATTAACTACGAATGAAAAGGGGAAAAAAACAGACATTGATTTTCAAAAAAAAAATCAAGCGATATTTCAATCATTCGAATTATCAACATCCCCGGTTACAAAGAATATGTTCAGAATGTCAGAAGCAATGAAGCCTTAAACCCGCATCATAACAGCCCAGTAGACTTAAATTCAGCTCGGTTAGTCTAAGGAAACGTAAGTCAATATTTTAGAAGCCTTACATGTAGGTATTAAATGAATACATGTATATCTCTCTATCGGTGGATTGCTTATGGAGGGTCGATACCCAGAGTTAGATCGGAGAGCGCGGCGCACTCGGTTTGAATATTCTAGTTACCCGAGATCTTTGGATGGCAGAAGTGGGAGCATGCCATTATCTAAAGGTATTTATCTCCCAAATCTGTTGTGTATACAATCACCGGCTCTTTAAATGTATTTTTTAAAGACACAGTCGAGGGTCTTGACAATGCACAAATAGTCTTTGGGATAATTAAGAGTTTGTGTCGATATTTTCTCTCTTTATATGTACAGAAGAGTTTTAAATGTTCTCTTCTGTGTAGCGTTTACTTGGAGATTTTTTCTATCTTACAGAAAGGTAAGTTTTTAAGAGCGATTTTCGTGATATTAATACTCAGATTTTGACAAATCGTCGCCAACTTTGTGTTGAAGATTTTAATGTAGACACCTGATGAAATCTTTGTTCTTTCTTACACGAGCGTACCGATTTACAAAGGCTCGGTGATAGATTCAGATACACTTAAGTAACTTAATTAGATATTGGGCATAGTTTCTTTTTAAAATCTTCTAAATAAAAATATATAATTAACTCTTTTGATAATTTATCTCCTCTATGAACTCAATATTCTCCGAACATAGTGTTTAAAAATCTCTTCCTTACATTTGCTTTTCATTTCAAAGATTTCTCTTTTTTTGTAAAATCAAGATATCCCACAACCTTGAATCGATGAATCATACAGCAGTTTAGAGTACTTCATTTCATTCTTACTTTCTTATTTTATACGATTCGAGAATTTTAAAAATAAACTGGTGATTCAGTAATGCTTAACTAATATTAGTGAAATGTAGATTTAATTCAAAGTTTAGATATGGACTTGTATATAAAAAGTTAAATCACCTGTTTTTGTTACTTTCAGTATCTGCGTTGGTATGGGCATGATAAACCTTCACACTATATACATCGTTTGTATGTTTTTCCCAATACTAAATCTTGGTCACAAAGTGAAATTGTCAGTATTTAATGGTATGGTTCTGACGAACTCATGAAAAAACATTAAAGGATATTCTTGTTTGTAAACATATCCTTTTCTGTTTATTCGCTAAAAATAATTTACACCTGTTTTATTTGCACACGGTTTAAATTCCCCATTTAATGTTAGTTTTCCTAACTTAAAGAATTGCAACTTTTGTTTACTTTGATCGGGCTGCAAACATGATATAAACCCAAAAAGTTGGGTACCTTTCATTATAAATTACATTTGGAGAATTGAACGTAACCAGAGACAATCAATTATTGTATAGAATGCCGAAATCAATACATAAATGTTGAAGGACACACGTATCAAACTTTGGTTTTATTTGTAAAATTCTTAAGTACTATTTCCCCATTCTGAAACCTAGCAAGATATAACAATCGTATAAATAAGGCGAGAAGAGATTTTTAAATTTTATGGTCTCTAATGGGGTAAATCTGAAATAATTTCCTCAACAGAATGAAAGACAAATATGTTTAAAAATGTATGAAATTTTTTTACCACGAGCCATTTAAAAAGTTTCAGGGGATATCAACTTGGACATATGTAACCAAAGGCCTTTTAAAGTCTATAGGTCTTATTGATGAGCTTTCGGACATTATGTAAGGAACTGAAATATAAAAGGGATTTTAAAATAATTCCCGAATTTCGTAATATTCTACCTGGTCCACAGGTGTGGAGAGATATTCGCTGAGAAATTCCTTCTTTGAAGTCTGTTGACCATTAAATCAAATGACAATTGTACAAGACATCATAAGAATATATCTCCAAGACTTGAAATCAATGCCTGACTTGTCTTGAAATTTATAAATTTCAAACACTACAAAACTCAAGTATCTACTTGACACATATGAAGGCTTTTAGAAGATTTGTGTTTTAATGATCGAAAGCATTTACTGCTTTTAGGAAAATAAAACATCTCACTTTAAAGGAAAAGTGGACCATATTGAGCCCTTTCTGAATTGGGTGACATGTATGCAAAAATCCATTCTTTATTTCAAACATGTCTATCGACTCTTGTTTTTCTTTGCTTTGATTTTTTAAAGTAAAGAATCGTGTTATCTTATTTAAATTTTAATTGCTTCACAAAACGCATCTGTTTCATATTCATTGCCATATAAAATTTTCATCTGATACTCCTGCTCTAATTTTTCGAAATATTTCTTTGCACATTTTGTTGCTTTTTCTTTGGTACCGTGAAAAATCTCGGTATTCTTGGCTCGTACCTTACAAATAATCGTAACTTAAAATATATGTCTGACTTTCATCTTTGGTGTGCAGCATTAATAAAAGTACCCGTGTGCTTTCATTCTGACAACTGAAACTGTATGATTTGAAGAGTATATCCCAAGGATAGTTAGTCTTAAGAAAGCATTAAATCGCCAGAAACTGCATATCCATGCAGGATCGAATTTCATCCTTGCATAACTATGTTGCAATGAATTATTGAATACCCGTTCAGATAGAGTATATTATTCAGCTTAGTTAATCAAGATTCAAAACAGAGGACCTAGATAAACTAAAAGGTTACAAGTCTGCAAAGAGGTCTTAATGCTGTTCCTTTCAACATCGTAATTTTCTGACAATCAGTCAATTACGTTCAAGGTCTACTTAGTTGATCAAAAAACACAGTATCATTGTTAAGGCCCCCAGTCAAGTATTACGTTATATAAACATAGAAATATACTTCATCAGCCAGACGTGTATCTAACAAAGGTTTTGATGCGACCTTGTAGTTAATAAAGTAGTATTTAAAATTCAAGAAATAGAATACCAAGTTTTGTAATCTCTGAATAGAAATATTTCGTGATCTCTATTTATCTTAGATAATCAAACCTGCCCATTGTTACCTTTAAGCTTAAACAGAAATATTCATTCTTTCATTTCAGATTAGACTGTCGTCTTGTTTAAAGATCTTATCATCATCAAAACATTTAAATTCACAACAGACGTAAGCAGGAAAATGGAGTTGGAAATCACTTGAATTTTAGTTTTCTACTAGAAAATGTCTTCTTCATCTAGTTCAAGTAGTTCAGGAATTTTTCAAACAGAAAACCGTGCAGCGTCCCAGATCTCCCGTCTGAAGCAGGAATATGATCGACGACTTTTACATTATGAAAAAGAGTTCGATGTTTCTTTGTCTAGAATGATAAATCGCGAAAGAGGCCTAAAGGAGTCTATGTTAGCTTATACAGAGCGCATGCGTAAGATGACCAACACCAAAAATAGTGTTGAAGGGATGTTATCCAATGATTCACCCTTATACGTAAGAGCGAAACATATTCCAAAGATACCTTTAACCAAAAACAAGGATAGAAGACCAGCATCATTTGATGAACTCATAGGCAAGAATGCCAAGTCAAAGTCAAACAAACCTCGGAGAGACAAGCCAAAATCAGCCTCAAGACTATCCCTGCCTTCTCTACCAGAACGGTATAACAAAAACTCCCATCAAGTGAAAATCAGTTTTGTGAGTGCTTCAGATTTATATGATATAGTGGATTTTAGTATAAGAAATAAGGGAAATAAGGAGGATACATTGAGATACATAGAAATGGATAATATTCATAATCACACGCCCTCCCCTACCGGTCGGCCGCTACCTGGTGCAGGGAATAGAAAGTCTTCTAGGAACCTTAGTAAAAGTGCCAACAATGAATCGCCAACTCCTAAAATCCCTAAAGACTTTAGTACTTTGCCAACACTACCACCGATAGAAAGTTCAGATAAAGAACAAGACTCTGAAAATTCAGACACTGATAGTGATAGTTTAGACTTAAATAAAGCGAATGTGGAGGCTTTCAAAAGAAGACCGAATCGCGCCAAACGTATGCAGATAAACAAACCAGATCTCGCAGATATTCCTGAAAATGACGTGGCGTCTCAAAAGAGATCGGCAAAGAGTGAACGAACACTGCCTTCCCCACCCCCCAAACAGTCGCCAAGAAATGTCATCAACCTGCAATCCCAGCTCGTGGCCATTCCGGAACACCAAACTCCGAGTGATGAGCTGTTGATATTTGACAAGAAAAAGGTGGGGAAGTTACCCCGTCGTGAACAAGGACAGAATGTTACTCCTATGGTGCGACTGGAGCCATTTAAAAATGTCTTAAAAGAACCAGAAGATAATACGGACCAGCACTTAAAAATGAAATTGAAAGCCCAAAAACGATTTAAAAAGTTGATTTTTCTGCGAGATGTTCCGGATAGACATCATCGATTGTAAAAGCTTGTTGAACAGTTTAAACTTCCCATTACCTCATTCTGTTAAATCATTAAATCGTCTAATGTTGTTCTATCTTTTTATGTTTTGATTGGTAATGGTGCAGAGATAACTACGGTTAGCATCACTTTATTCTTCTTATGATGTACTGCACTTCAATACATTGTTCTTTACCTTTACAATAACTGCAGGAAATTTGCACCTCATCTACCTTTCATACAATCGAAGGTCATATTACCGCACTTTTGAGATAACGTGGCGTTGTTTGAAGAGGGATATATTTCATGTTCTATCTTTAAAGTGTCAAATCTCCCGAATTTCCGTTATCCTAACATATCCTGAAAAAAGTACACCAAGTATTTATGAATTGTTTATCTCTTCTTGTGAACCAATCGATATAATTTCTCTTTAATCATATAAAAATCAATTTTTAAAGATAATTTTTACCATTCAATATTCAGATTTCTTTCGCTGAGGCGAGAAGTGCAATAACAAAGGATTTAAAAATATATATATAGCTGCGTACTTAGTTAACCGTTTCCTTTTTTGCATTTTGTCAGGGTGTTTATACTTTAAAATAAATTTTTAAAAATATTTCTCTTGAAACAAGTCACATTTCCAATATTTTCTTCCTTGGGTGTGGTTTCTTTTCTTTGTACTCTACGATCCTACGAGTTCCTTTAGCAAAATTCTTAGCGAAGGCATCAATTAACATACTAGTATATGAAGAATTAAATAGCAATATTAAAATGGAATTGCATAATTATTCATATGCTTTCTGATCATCATATATTACTGCCACAGAGGCGTAGTCACAAACTTAAAAGTGGGGGGGCTCAAGTCCAGAAATTCTTTGACAAGCCAAAAAAAAAAAAAAAAAAAAAAAAAACTTAAAAAAAAAAAAAAAAAAAAAGTCCAGAAATTCTTTGACAAGCCAAAAAAAAAAAAAAAAACTTAAAAAAAGTGGGGGGGGGGGGGCTCAAGTCCAGAAAATCTTTGACAAGCAAAAAAAAAAAAAGTGACCTTAAAAGTGAGGGGGCTCAAGTCCAAAATTCTTTGACAAGCAAAAAAAAAAACCAATGTGACCTTAAAAGTGAGGGGGCTCAAGTCCAAAAAAATTCTTTGACAAGCAAAAAAAAAAATTAAAGTTCCCCAAACTCGAAAATCCTATTTCGTGGGGGGGGGGGGGGGGGGTAGTGGCCAATTTTTCAAAGACAAATTATTTTCAATTTCATTTTTCCTACACAATTTTGTTATACAACTATGTATTGCTATTATTTCATATATCTGTGATTTTGTTCTTCATTAAAAAGTGGGGGGGGCACAGACATACTCTTGCCCCCCCCCCGATCTGAAAGTGGGGGGGCTAGTGCCCCCGCTGCCCCCCCTGTGACTACGCCTATGCTGCCAGCTTTAAATTTTTTTCAAATAAACGGTGTTAAATGGGGAATACAGATCTTAAGAACTGATAGTCTTTGACTGATCATTAATGAAATTAGATTAATATGTAATTTGACATCGTGCGATCGGATTTTAAGATAAGACCGCAGGTTAATTAAAGATTCGTGCACTGGTCCACATTCATCGTTTAGTGATTTTGTCGCCAACATTCATAAAGCTTTCTATAAACTGATTCTCTCAAGAGTTCCTTAGAGCCATCGATTCGTATAAATGTCTGCAGTTTTTATTGTGTTGACTTGGATTTCAAGATTACATAACTTGCTAAAAGGAATCCTTTAAAATAATTTACCTTCAGTTATTACTTCCTAATTATTCAATTCAGTTGACATTAGAATTAATAGAAAAAACAATTCTAACTTTTTTTTAATGAGTTCCGTGGGTAAACTCTTATTATCGTGGAGAGCTCTGTAAATATGTTTTACGGGACGTTTTGAAAGTAGTATTCCAGTGCAATGCATTTTCTTTTTATCTGTAATAAGCGTAAATACTCGGTAAACCTTTAAAAATCTTCATTTGATTCAAGCTGCAATTTTTTCCAAGGGTATTCCCCTTGATAACGGCATCATAATCATTAATTTCTTTAATCAACATGAACACATGCAGAAAATGGGCTTCAAACATGCATGTGCGCGTTGAATTATGATAATTTTATTTTAGTTACCTGTATAAGAATGAAGCATTTCCCTTCCTTTTTAAGAGGGAAACATCATGCTAGACAAAGTACCTGCATGCATGTGACTATGAGAGTAGTACATTTTTTGTACATTAACACAAAGCTCTTTTCTTCACACTCGCTAACGGTTTCACAAAAAAGAAAACCACTATAGGATTATATTAGCAGCACTAAATAAAAACTATGAGGACACAAGAAGTTTTCCCACTACAAATTGTTTGCATACATTGGTACTGATTTTATATCCAATACACAAGATGAATCAATTTTGAAGTAATTCAAGCACTTGTGTTCACGGGTTTTTAAATTGGCATATTCATTTAAAGAAGTTTTCAAAGGTCAATGAGAACTCAAATGAACCTGTTATATACTTAAAGTTTTTGCGAAATCAATTAAAATCTATAACATCTATATAATGCATTGATTTGATTTTTATATTCAAAACGACGTTTATATTCATGACTAAAACTTCATATCATCAATTTTTTTAAAATCTCAACATTGCAGCATGAGGCGGTTTGAAACACTCTTGCTTTAGATTCCGGTTTATTCATTGTATAATGTGTATAAAGTTAGGATAAAAGAATGTATTTTAAATAACACAAGATATATTCACAAAAACTTCTTTCTGATGCATATGTTGTGGTTACATGTATACCCTTGAAGTGAGAGACTTTCTTTTTGTGGCAGAAAACCACGGTATGTCTACTTGGCTGTCTGTGTTATGAAGGACGTGGGCAGCAAACAGTACCGATATGCTCTAGAGTCCTCAAAATTAGGTCAAGGCACTTTATTGTAAGTGTGGCTTCCCCCAAAGATGAATATATTTTTATCCTTTAAGTGTACTTTTTTTGGAAACTGAATCAAGTTTTTGCTTTATTTTCTCAGAAGGTCACATTTTAAAAATAAGAAATGATGTAGATAAGCGTTTCAACGCATATCATAAAGTAAAATGAAATATATGGATATAGTATTCAAGCTCAAAAGTTCATATAATTATACAAAATATGAGCAAAGAAAACACGGACCTTTCGAAACATCAGAGGTAGGATCAGGTCACACCCGCCGTGTGCTCCTTGTCATGATCGGGAAATAACGGGAAATCCGTCGTCAATTCAATGTGTAAATAAGGACTAACAATAAGTATGAAAAAACGTCAGTCATCATTAGACTCAATGATATATTGAATTTGCTGACAAGGCCATTATATATCGACCAGAAAACTTATGAAATTATTACTTTAATCGAGACTGCTAATATACTTGTTTCATCAACTTGTTTGTCAATAATTTACCTTGTTTTAGAAAGTGTGCATACGTAAAACTAAGATAAGGTTAGATTGTGGAGGGTTTATACTTGCCAAAATTGTTTTATCTAAATCATGCAACTTTTCAATTTAAAATACATTTAAATATTTAAACAAATAAAAAATTAAAAATTAAAAAAAAAAAAAATCAGCAGCCTATCAACAAGGGGTCTGAACAAGTCCCATTGTTTTTATAAATACGATTTTTCACAGTCCAGCTATCCGCGGGTGGTTTTTTCTTTGCATGGACTAAAATCTTATTTTTATGTGAAAAAAATTGCACTCACTTCAGAAAATTGCACGCATCTTAGATAAACCAATCTTCTTTACCTCTAATTTAAAGTAATGGTAAATTGAATATTGATTGGAAGCTTTAGAGCCTTTAATGTAAAGCAATACCGCATTTATTACGTGCAGAAGTAAAAATTTAACTAAGTTGTTAAATTAGGTAAGAATTGTAAGTTTTAGTGAAAATCACAAATTAATGGAATTCATATGTAGACTGATACATGCAATTTAGTTTGATGAAAGAAACGAATAAAGACTCTGTAACACTTTTAGTTACAAGTCCTCTAGTCCAGTTAAAAGCAGTTTCCATGCATTAAACGAGAAAACGGTTTTTATCAAGTCTGCCTAATCTCTGGTAGGAAAAATTTATATCCTTGCCTACTAATTTAGACAAAGTTAATTAAATTGACATTAGAATTAGCAAAACAATTCTGTTATGTTTGTAAACAATTGTAGTGGAAATCATTCCTCTATCCCTGCCAAATCTACGTAAACAAGCTAAGTTGACAGCCAGACTTAGTGGAATTTAAGTAATTAATGTATCTCTAACCCTTTCTTACTGGGTGTTCTAGCCCAATTTCACGTAATCTTCGTTATTTTGTTTTATCTGCGTTGGAATTTACATTGATTTTTAACTTGAACTCCGGAGACGATTTGTCAATGTAGCTTTAAGGGTAACGCTAAGGTGTCTTCTAGCACGTAAAGCAAATATTGTCAAATAGAAAGAAACGAGGTTTGATTATTTACTTCGATTCAAACAGAGTGTCAGTCCAACTCATTAGTTTTAGTTTTATGTTCGTAAAAGGTACAACAGATGTAAGAACATCGAAACAACTGGAAGGACTTTCTATAACTATATGGTTCGATTAACTGAATGCAAAAAAATGTCTTCGATGTAGTATAACTGATTGTTCAATTACAATTATTTTTTAAAAAGAAAGAAAACTTTAGTATTCAAGCTTATTATCAAAAGACAAGCTTGATTACAGATTAAATTATAGCTTTAATAATTACAGATAGATATCCTATACAGTCTACGAAAGTCAGATTTATAAGCTCATTTTTGACAAAGGTAAAAACAAAATAATAACTCGTTATAACGAGAAAGCAGGTTATAACGAGATATTAATTCATTAAAACTAGATAACAAACTCGTTGTAAATTATTTTAATGAGTAAAATGATTTTTTTAATCTTGTTAAAATGAGCCTATCTGGCTTTCGTGGCAATTTTTTCAGTTTCTAGTCAAAGATGACATTGAAGCTTTGTAGCGACTGCTAATGATAAAAAGAAATATAAAAAGGAAGAAAGATAAAAAGAAACATCATTAAGATTTGCAATGCAAAGCTTATTGCAATAAATAATTGCATAAATAGTTGCCATTTTCAACATCTTAATGATATCATTCTTCATTAAGCGACGATTAAGCATTAGCGGGAATGTCAACTTTAAAATAAATTAAATTTATTTCATTAAGCGCGTTGCATTGCAACGCTCAATGCCATTCCTCTCATTTCTAAAGCAGGGTTTTGTCATTAGCTGTTGCTAAAAAGCTTTAATGATTTATTCTAGTTCATTAACTTTAAGCTAGCTTCATCAAGAAATGCATTGGAATCCTCCATGGTTATTCATTGCATGAAAGTATGGAAAACTGATAACGATGGTCTTTGGATTTTATAACTTCATCAAAATTAAAACTACAAATAATAAGGTTTTTCCCAAAATATTTTTTATTACATTATAAAATAAAAAAGGTAAAATTGACTGATCAGTATATACTTATTAAAAGACGTTTAAATTTCAATAATAGAAACCATGCCTTCAAAATGTAGAGATTTTGAAAAATAAAACCAAAACGAGACAAGACGAAAAAAATAAAAATTCCTTTAAAATGCCTGAATCATGAATTGAATTTTTAAAAAGATAAACATTTTAACAAATTTAACTTCTTCTTTTCAAGGAAGTATTTTCTGATCTTTCGTTGCTGTATTCATATTTCGCGAAATTGGGACATTTATTCAGGAAATCTCGTATTACGAGGGGTTATCAAAAAGTTCGTGGACTAGCGCCATAAAATTAAAACCGCTTTAGGTACATCAATGAATTTTAAAATATCTAGTTAAGAGGCCGTGTCAGTAACCATTGAGTATTGTATATAAAGTGAGTGGAATGTGAAAAAAAATATTTTGTTTTAATATTTGGGTGCATGGAAGTATAGATGAATGTCCTTTCAAACATGAGTTATTTGGGTCACATCTTCCTTGTTACCATAGCAACGGTGATTTTAATGCTTGAAAAGTGTGAAATTTGATTATTGATAACCCTGTCAAAATTAATTACAGAATCAAACTATGTTTTTCTTAATTTCAATATACATGGGAGATTTAATTTTTCCCATGTTTATTTTAAAGCATTTGGGGCCTACTTTGCTTTGTTTCTACCAAATGCTGTAAAATCAACATGATTTTTATAAATATTTTACACGAAAACGCAACCAAACTCTATCATAACCATACATGCAATAGAAACTACGAGCTTTGAAGTTATAAATCCAATAATAAAAAATGGTAGTTGGGTACTCTATAGCAAATAATTTGATTTAGAATGTACTACAAATATGAAAACGCGTGAACGATTACCTCCCTTTTGTGGAACTCTCCTGCTGATAAAGAACAGAAAGTTGCTGTTGCAGCAGAAGTCGGAGAAGGAAAACACCATGTAAAGATGTATAAAGCAGGTCTTGTGCGGTTACAGAGGACATGACAGCATCAAGAGTTTGTAGGTGACTGAAAAGTACTATTTATAGTCCGAAATATCTGACGTTTTCCTGGCTTTTTAACTATTTCTATATTTTACGTGCGAGGAAAACGCCAGAACCGGCGCCTTTACGAAAACTGGGAATTCCAAGCAGCGGCATTCTCGGGTGTATTTTCGATACTTGCAATTACTTGTCAAACTCACAATTTATCAACAGTACAATGCCTCTAGTACTTACCAATATAGTTTTTATGGTTTGTTTGTAAATATATGATCCGATGGAAACATTTTCTCTGACTGTCGAGATTTGTTTTCATTTCGTGCGTTTACAAATTAAAAAAAAAATACAAGTCCTGTATCGAAATCAAATGATGAGTGATTATTTTCTTTTCATTAATATTGTCAAGTACTAAAAGCATTGTGCCATTGATAAATTGTGACAACGGCATTTAATGCGGTTCCCAAGTATGGGAAATCAACTCTGACTGGAAATGGCGAAATTTCCAGTTTTCGTAATGGCGCTGGTTCTGACGTTTTCCTGGCACAGAAAATATTAAAAAAAAAACTGGAAAATGCCAGATATTTCAGACTTTATTATTTAGAGCATATTCATCAATCACTGATAAGGTCAAATTGGTAGATTTCCACTCATGTATGTCTGCGTATTAGTGTTCTTTTGATGAGTAATATTTCAAACAATATTTCTTAAAATTCATAGCCATACCCGCTATACCTCATTATCTCAGGTCTCAATATATATTTTTTCGGAGAGCTACAGTTCTGCAGCTACACTAAAACAAGATGATAAAACTTGAGGTTGCTAATATTGATTTGAAAAGGGGAAGGGAAACTAGGATAACAGACTCAACTCTGGTTTCAAAATTTGCTCCTGACCCTTAAAGTGGAGGGGAGGGGAACCAGGATTTATAAATTTTAACTACAGGAAATTTTGACTTCCCAAATAAGTAAGGAGTGGGTGGGGTGCTATTCCTCCTAAGCCCTTGATCAGGTTGGGCACAATTTCCGAAAACGATAATTCTGAAAATGTGAGACTAAATATGTAATATCGCGATTACCTCGCAGTTATCTAACTTACTACCACTCTTTTAGGGGGGAGTCGAGAAAGCTCGAATCTCACGAGATTACAGGGGCACAATGGCATTGTTTACAGTAGTGACAATCGAATGATTTGAACAATTTTATGCCGAAAGTACAATGTATTGCCAAGAATTGAATTCCAAATAGTAGATTGTCAAATAAGGAAAGTTTAGATTATTTTATCAGTTTTAAAATGCCATGATTTTCAATGAAAATTTAATGAGAAGAGCCCGCTTAGTTAAAAATATCGTAAAAAATGTAACATTGAAGGATTAGCTCCTCTCAAAAATTAATTAGGCTGGTTCAGCGATTGTTAAGGACGGTATTCCACCAGGATTTTTTTACTTATCTGTCCTCAAAAATTCTACAATGATCGATCTTGCATTGTATTCAATAGCACATTTGTCCCAAGCCAACAGACGTTCCCTACCTCCATCGCGAAAGAGTTCCACTAAGTTAAGTAATCGCGATATCAAGTATTGGAGTATCCCCTTTGTCCAGTTTAATGTCTTAATATATCATATCCCAGTCACTATATATGCTATAGGCTCAAGTAAGTTTGTAAACAGGTCTAAAATATTTTCAGGAGAATCATGATGATGATCAGTTGCAATGTGAACTACCAAATAACCATGAAGTACAAGCAGATCCAATTAATGTGGAACAAATAAAGGTTTGTATTGAAATTTTTACATGTACTGAATTATTATGCCCAAAGAGCATGAACATATTTTTGTTTGTCCTTTCTGTCTATCTGTTGTCAGCTTTAACCTTTACCATGACTTTTGAACTGTGAGATCATATTTGGTATACATAATCCACTAATTAAGTTCTTTTAGATTACACCAACATCAGTAACCTTTAGACCTTGATCTTTTTGCTAAAACTAGCTTTTCTATATTTGTTGACGCTGGGGGCATACTGTTTCACAAACTTATCTTGCTTTAAATTACTTTAAGCATCAGCTTGTTTATTATAAAGAATCAGCAACTATATGCAGTAGGGTCATGTAAATTTGTAAACAGATATGAAATACTTTCAGGAGAATCATGATGATGATGAGCTGCTATGTGAACTACCAAATAACCATGAAGTACAACCAGATTCAAAGCATATGGAACAAATAGAGGTTTGTACTGAATTTTTTACATGTACTGAATTGTTTAGAACTACTTTGAGCATCAGCTTGTTCTTAAGAGCCCAGCCTCAAAGAGTACCGGTAATCACTTTGTTCATCCTTTTCTTTGTTGAGAGATAACTCAAATGCTATATGTCCTGGAAACTTCAAACTTGAAAGGATTGTGACTCAATATCTTAAATCCATTAGACCTATGAACTTCATATTTTAAACCCAGACAAGAAGCCTAAAATGGGCCCATATTGCTCACCTGGTCTTCTGTCAAAGGTTGTTAAAGACTGATATCACGAGGCACATTTGTGTCATGTAAGCTGTGCTTTTGAGGCAGGTATGAAATGCATTTCAGATAAGACAATTTCATTGAAGTCTACTGTGACCTTAGCATTGAAGTTTGACATTGAGTTAGGGTCATGGCACACCACCTTATCATTAGGAGCATTGTATGCCAAGTATGAAGCTGTTCCATGAGGCATATAGAAATACAGACCTGAAAACTCCATCAAATTTTACCTTGACCTTGACATTGAAGGTGTGACTTTGGCTCAGGGCTGTGAAACACTGTCTCAGCATGAGTATTATTTGTGTCAAAATGAACTTGTTTTAAATGAAGTTGTTAGTTGGATTGATTTTGTATCTTTCTTTTGTAGGTGGAATCAACTTCAGACGACAACTTTTCCAAACACCTTGTGAAAGTCATCTGAATGCCAGGATTCTCAAGAGCATGAAGATAGTCCATTACATAGGAGGAAGACCTTGATTATGTATCTTGATGCCATTGGTGAAAAGGCAGAAGTCTAACACTGACTGTGAAGAAAATGACTTGACAGCTGAAGGGAACATGAACAATTTGAATCAGATTTCTGATATGGCTCTTAAAGCAGTGAACTAAAAAACATTTTCTTACTAAGTTTAAGATTTTGATATCAAAGTTTTTGGAAGGGGGATATAGGAATCACCCTGTTTGTTTGTCCATCTGTCTGTGGACAACACTTGGATTATACTGCTCTAGCTCTAGTTGGTTAAAATATATAATATCTAAAATCAAATGTGTCATACTTCTTGTTTATTGTGCATAAATGTACTCTGAAGAACATACTGTATAAGTAGAATTTTTAGCGAGGATTTAATTTTGGCATTATTAGAGATGGTGCTGACATCGCTAAAATTGAATATTGCTAAAAATTAATGTCTTATTATTTGTAATAGCTTCTTTAGTAAACATTTTAAAATCGCTAAAATTACTTCTGGCTAAAAATAAAATACCAGACTTTGGTAGAAGTCGCTAAATTTGCATCTCGCTAAAATTTCCACTTATACGATATATTATTATTTCTAGCAAAGTATTTCTGTAAAATATTTGACTGTACACTTAAGAAAAAATTCAGTCTCAGAATCAGGTACAAGATATGCTGTAATGGTGCCTAGTTGTGTCGCCTGCATAGCAAGGGGACTCCTAGGGATCACTTCTCCATTGTCTGTCAGTCTGACTAGCTGACCATCAGTCTATCTGTCTGTCACAATTTGATATGTCATTCCTGACTCCTGAGACACACATTTTCAATGGAAAACTCTTGTTTTACGTTTATATCTGTGATATTTTTAGTGAGCATTGATATTTGACCAGTTGATTGGTCTTTGATAGTAAAATAAGATAAAACTTGAAATATAAAGTTGCTGTAAACTACATTTTCACAAGCCTTGCTGATGTTAAGGTTTATTTTCATTTGAATAAGTATAAGGTCGTCTTGTGTTTAACAGGCACGACTTCTCATTATACCCCCTGTAAACGAAGTTTGGGGGGGTGTATACAGGAATCAGCTTGTCTGTCTATCTGTCTATCCGTCCGTCCCTCTGTCTAGCTGTGCAAACATGTATGGTCCATATCTTTCTTACGGAGGAACATTAGAATCTACTACTCCATATAAAGATTGCTCATGACCTAAGAGTGTGTCATGACCTTGACTCAAGGTCATTTGGGGAAGTTCAAGGTCACTGGAAGAAAAATTTCATTATTTGTGTCCGTTCCATATCTTTCTTATGGATTAACTTGGTAAGTTCCCATTTAACAAAAAGATTCCTCATGACCTAAGGGTGTGTCATGACCTTGACCCAGGTCATCTGTGCATGTTCAAGGTCACTAAAAGAAAAATTGTAAAATTCATGTTTGGCACATATCTTTATTTTGGATTAACTTGAATCTACTACTTCACACAAAGAGGGTTTATGACCTGGTGTGTTATGACCTTCAGCAAAGTTTATTTAAGTTCAAGGTCACTGAAAGGAAAATTTCTTAATATGTGCATGGTCCATATATTGCTTATGGGTAAACTGGTTAGTTCCTATTTCACATAAAGATTCCTTATAACCTAAGGGTGTATCATTACCTTGATGCAATGTTATCTATGCAAGTTTAAGGTTATAAAAGCAACAAGTTCATAATTCATGTTTTGTACATATCTGTCTTATGGAAAAACTTGGTAAGTTCCTGTTTTACACAAAAATTGCTTATTGTATTGAGGATGTGTCATGACCTTGACCCAAGGTTCTTTTTGTAAGTTTAATGTCACTGAAAGGAAAAACTTCATAATTTGTGCCTGGTCCATATCATTCTTATTGATAAACTTGGATACTTTCTTGTTTACACAAAGATTACTTATGACATAAGGGTGTGTCATGACTTTGACCCAAGGTCAATTGTCCAAGTTCAAGGGCACAGACAGTAAAAAAATTATAATTCATGTCTGGTCCATATCTTTCTTATGGATAAACTTAGAAGGTTCCCATTTTACACAAACATTGCTTTGACCTGAGAACTTGTCATGACTTTAAACCAAGGTCATTTATGCAAGTTCAAGGTCACTGACAAAAAAAAATTCATAATTCATGTGTGATCCATACATTTAGTCTATTTTTAGGCTGCACCTTCGTTTCATTTATAAAAAAAATTAATGAGCAATTACATTTGCACTAAAATGTTTTAGCTGTTCTCTCTTCTCTTCGATCCATAAAATATTCATGATTTAGAACTTCTGAAAAACCCAGCGGGGGGGGGGGGGGGTATTTTGTCCCATTTGGACAGTTCTAGTTGTTTTTAGGTTTATAACTTGAATAATAAACATGGTACAGCAATGTAAATTAGCCAGTAGACAGCATTGGAGTCCCTTTGGGTTGAACATTGCGTCATTTTGACATATAACTTCAGCTTTTGTTATGTCATATATGGTCAAGTTTTTGCGTATTTGGTCCACATTCTGACTATATTGTATAACTATTAGACATTGTAGAGCAATGGTACTTATTATTACTTATATGATGGGGTAAGTACAACAGGGTTGACAGTTGATCAGGATGCCATGACCCAAATATTCCACTTGAGAGGCTTTAATTTCCTGGGTGTATGTTTCATGTTTTGCCGATCCTAGTCAAGTCAGTTGCTAGGGTATAAATTCCGTTGCTATGGAGATTACTTTTCCTATTGTTTTGTAAAAAAAGTCGTACATTTTATGGAGTTTTTTCTAAAGTACTATGTTTCTGTAGATATGGCATCTAACTATTAAATATCTGTTGTAATATTAAAAAAAAAATGCCAAAACTTGCGAAAATCCATTGAAAGTGTTTTGAAAAAATGCAAATTTTGATTTCTGAAAAAAAACATTGGGACATCCGACTACCAATTTTTATTTTATTATTTCATAGTATTGGGATATATCTTTAACTTTGTATGACATACAATATCTACGGTTGTTGCGTTTTTAAGTATTCAACTTTTGAAAAAACTTAATTTTCCATGGATATTCCCATCATGAAAACCTTGTCATTTTTCGGTTGCCATAGCAACCATATCAAAATTTTTGAAAATACTTACAGACATGAAGATATTTTCTTCTGATGCATCTTTCATTATTTCAGTATAAGAAAACAAATTTAGACCTTCCAATTGTTCCCTCCTCTGCATTTAAATATGTCTAAATTTGTATTATTTTACAATGTTTCATTGAGAATTTACTATGCAAATCACATTTGTTGCCATGGAAACCAATGATAATGAATAAATTTGTAAAATTTGTCTTAAATGTGTTTTTTGTTGTTGTTCAAATATTTTAGGGTGGTTTTTGCCCAATTCAAAATTTTTGACTTTCCATGTAAATCTCAATGGTTACTGACACGGCCTCTTAACATCATCTTTTCTATTTAAATAATAAACCATAAATAATAAAATTTATTTTTTAATAGATTAGTAATGTTTTTGTAAGCAATGGTATGTCCAGGCGGCGCAACCTTGAACACAACATTTTGCGACCTAAATGTAACTGAGAAAAACTCTTTCGTTATGAACATTAGACATTTAAAAATCTCGTTAATTCAGGTGTGCGTTGGAACACAATTGTTCCACAAAATATGAAATTTTCACCTCATTCTGGAAATTCTATGAAATTTTATCGTAAATTTTACATGGAGTGTCCACTCAAATAACGCCTTGAATATGACGTCAAAAGGGGGAGGGGGTTCCTTTTCCAACATTCTATAAAGTTTTGACCCTGAAAAAAATGGTATAGACCTAAGAAATGTTTAAACTGGCTACAGAGAAATAGTATGCATCCAAAGTACTTTTCTTTTAATGCCAAAATAGATTCAGAGAGAAAATGGATGCACAGCTTATTCCATTTGTAGTCAAGGTGTGAAAAATCAATCACGTCAAAAAATGACCTTGATCATGTGTCTTAGATATTGAACTCCCAAAAGTAAAACAAGTGAGGATCTCTCCCAATGTATAAATCCATTTTGAATATTATATTCATTGAAAACCGCTGTTCATGACATTGTAAAGACATATAAACAAGGCAGGTGCAAGTTCTTACTCAGGTTCTGGGAATCTCATCAAAAAAAGTGTATGATGTAGAAGGAGCGGACATTGAAAAACAAAGACGTTGTCGGATGTCGTGAAACTACACGGCGACGGCGCCAGGTGATCATATAATGTCGCTTTTATTTTATAATAATTTTGCAAATAATGAACGTATCAAGCTAAATTTTTCAACATTTCTTCATTTTTTGTTGTTTTATTTTCCATATAAATTTTGAAAGCACAGACTTCGTAGTACTTTTCTTATAGCCTCAGTCCACGAACTTTTTGATAACCCCTCGTAGCTTTTTAAGAATATTTGACATTCTAAAAACTTGAGTCATCCGGAAATTTTCGAAAATATTAAAAGAGGATATATCTGCTTCTATCGCCATTCCATAAAAAATCAATCTGATCAAAATCCGATTCTTTGATCTGCTCACATAGATCGCTACACAAGGCTTGTGTAGCGATCTATGTGAGCGGATCAAAGGATCGGATTTTAATCAGATTGATAAAAAAAATGTATTGGGGTCTTTTGCCTTGGTGATGTCATAAGATCTCACCCAATGAAATAAGCATTAGTTTCTGCAAAATTTGACACTTCTTGTCTGTAATATAACT